CATCACTTTTATGGCTTTCCTGTTTTGATGTCTCTTTTAAACCAATACAAATATAAAGGCCAACAACTATAGATGTTTTTTTTATTACTGGGAACATGGTTATCATTATTAGAATTCCAGTAGAACTTTCTAGATAACAGTGGAGTGGGGATCATTTATCCTTGAGCTGTGGTAATCAAACAGTCTGCTTTTATAAGAGCTGGAGGTATTCCATATATTTTACAGGTCTGAACGAACTAATATGCTCCTGATTTCTATGTTCATTTTGCTATCTCCATTACTATACTGTTATTCTTTCAAATTTAGCTCAGTCATTGTTTATATGAGTAAAATTTGACTGAGCCAAAAAGAGACTGAGTAAATTGTTAGGACCATTTGGATTGCAGTTTAGCACTGTTATTTTAACATCACAAATGGCTATACATTAGGTTCATTAATCTCATCATAATTTGACAAGAATTCTGGTAACTTTTACCTAATAAACCAACAGCGTCTGGTGCAAGTTAAAATATTAAACTTAACTGTAGAGACAATTAATCAAAAGAACAGCAAAAAAAATATGCAAACTAAAATGTAAGGTTAAGTATTCTATATAGGACATAATAAAGCAATTCCTCATTCACTTTCAGGATATAATAAAGAAATTCCTCATTCAGTTTCAGGATATGACTGAAACAAATTTACATGAATATGCCATTTTTCTACAGCATGTCTCTGGAGAGGGGTATCCATAAGAACCAATGTTAATCACATTTTTCCCAAAAAACTAGATTCATTTCTGAAAAAAATTAAGATTAATTTCTAAGGCTTAAAATTTTGTGAACTGCTTTAAAAGACATGCTTTGGACAAGGCAAATGAAATAATTTAAATTGTCAAAAGCTAAATGTGGATGGTAGCTATGATCTCAGGAATAGAGTTTTGCTAATTGCCCTGTTTTTGTTCTACCTGCATCATGAGCACTAATTAGACAAAGAACTAACATCTATCTTGTAGTTACGACACTCCCTTTATACACATTAACTCGCTCATTTTACTGTATCATGTATATACAATTATACTCTCTGATAGCAAAAAAAAAAAAGTAATTTGCCAAAAGTCTCACAGATAGAAAATGAGTGCTAGATTTGCGATTTAAAATTATGTTTGTCTGGCTTCTGGCCTATTTCTTTTTTTTTCTTTTAGCTATGGCATATGCTCTCCACTCTGAATTAAATAAATGTAATTATTGGCAGCTATATCTATGAGTCATACATGTAAGTTTATGATATCACACTACAAATTCTGTGTGTACACACACATATATATGCAGACTGTTCTCAATACTGATAATATGACTTTGCCTTAGTTGCTAGATTTCCACCAGCTACTCTTACATTACATCTGATAAGAAAGAACTTTGAATCTTAATCCATTACCTGGACCCTGACTTAAGTAATACTTCTAAATAGGCATACAGAAGAGGGACATGTTAAAAGTTATACAGGACTCTAGGCATTCACTCACAGTGAGACCAAAGAAAGATACTCTTAGGAGAGGAACACAAAGGTACAATAACATTTATTATAATGAAATTAAGGAAATGGAAACAAGAAAAAAAGCCAGAGAACTATGATTTTTCACTGAAAGTAGAATTCAGGGAGAGGCTAAGAACAGTTGAGGATTAAAGACAAGAAAAAAGTCTTCAATTAATTTCACTAGGCAACATCACTAATTCTGAAGTGATTTTCCAAATTGCTAGTCACATTTGCATTTGCTTTCCCATATGAAGATAGATGTAAGTTTAAACATAAGTCTTATTGAATGGCCCTTTCTTCTCCATTATGGTTATTATAGACAACCAATGGGTGATTGTAATCAAATTGTAGGAAACACATCCAATGGACCAACCAGTATTTCACACATACACATATACAAAATGCAGAAAAAAATCTACAAAACACTAGAATGCATTAAGAGTTGACTAAAATACTTTCTGATTGCCTTTATATATTCCTTAAATGTGTCATTTTGTGTGGATTTTTCAAGAACCCATGAGCAATAGTATATATGTTTCCCAATTTTCTGTATAGTCAGGTCAGATTGTAACAAATGGTAAATTGTATAATGCCTAGATATTTCAAGGAATGATATACTGCAGATAGGAAAACCAAATAGCATCCAAAAGCTAATCCCATATTAAAGGACCACCATTTCCTGCAGAGTGAAAACAGAAAGATTTGCAAACAGAAGGCAAAGTAAATAAAATGACCACTAAATCTATTAATATTGTTAAGCTAGCATGATACGCTTTAATGATTAGTTGTAGAAGTATGGTTTCTTGGCCATGTAGGAAAAGGGAGAAAAGAGAAGGTCAATAAACATAATCATGCATGTTCTATTTGCTAACATGTTAGCAGAAATAAAAAGTTTAAGCTTAATGAGAACCATTATAATTGCAATAGAAATCTAGCTAACCCTACCAATGACAAGGCCATTCCAATATTGCTATTGAGAACTAAATTCCAACCCATACTCTCAGGATCTAATAGCACTAAAACATTCCATTTCAAATTTCATTTTAGTTTTATGCCCCATTGATTAGACACATTAATTTTTAACATTAGATTCAATACATTGTACAGTCATTTGTGCACAGTTTCCTGACACTGCAGCAGCCTCTGTCTTTCTTTTTCCTATGATGAATTGATAGCTCCATAAAATGGAAATGTTTCCTAATTATGATTCAATTGAGAAATACCAGTAAGAAAATTTAGGTCAAAAAAGAACTTTCCTGACATTAAGACAAGGTGATAAAAGCTAAGATTTAGAAATAAAACATTAACTCAAGAAATAGGAAAGGTCTTCAAATAGGAATTTTTTTAAAGGGATTGGATGGATGTTCCAGATGGTTCTTAGATTTTCAAACTAGATATACCTTCTCCAAAATGCCCAAAATGTTATAATAATGCTGATACAAAATTGTATATGTTGGGCCTGGTGCTAGTGGATCACATCTGTTATCCTAGCTACTCAAGAGGCTGAGATCTGAAGATTATGGTGAGAAGCCAACCCAGGCAAGAAAGTCCTTGAGATTCTTCCATTCAACTAACCACCAGAAGTGGAGCTGCATGTGGCTCAAAGTGGTAGAGCACTAGTCTTGAGCAAAAATGCTTCAGGAGAGCGCCAAGGCTCTGAGTTGCAGCCCAGGACATGCATATACATAAACATACACACAACAGTGTATGTTGATGTTTACCAATTAATGGCCATCGCATAACAGCAATGAATGTGATTATCTATATTCATTTACCAATTAATGGCCATCGCATAACAGCAATGAATGTGATTATCTATATTCATTTAAGACAACAGAGGATGCAAGTTTGGATCTCTGTCATTGGCTTATGTTTCCACTTCAATTTAAAGTCTCCAATAAATTCATTTCAAAGACTAAATTGCTTTTGGCACCTAAATAACTTTGGGATCACACCACTGACTACGAATTGACATTTTTTATGTACTTTGGTGTGTTTTTATTCACACTAAGACTGAATGTAGAGCCCTACCAAATTAAAGAAGCTATTTCCCGAAAATTGTCTGAAGAGTGCAGTTAGTGACATTAGTAGAAAAAATACACATTTTTCCTCACACTGCTCAGTAGGTCACATCTGGCTTAGGACACAGGCAAAATGAGTATGTTCAGTAACATTAGTTTATATTAAAGTATCTCAGGAAGGTAGGGCATAATCATTAGTCATGATCAGAATATTTCCTGCAATGTATAAGTCAAAAGAAAGTTTATGTGGCAGAATTATGTAAGGAAACTTACAATAGTGCCTGCCCACAAACCATGCAATTTGGAAACAGCCAAGAAACAAAACCATAGAGAAGGAGGAATAAATACAACAGGTATTAAGGGTTATTATGCAACTACAAAGATTCAAAATGACCCTGGAAATATAGCAAAAAATAGTTATGGAAAAGAAGCTATTTCTTATGCTCAGTAGCTAATTTTCAAACATATGTACCTGTATTTGAAACTTTGAGCATTTCACACATTTTTCTGTATCTGAAAAAAAAATGGATCCAGACTGATATTGTGTATCAATATACCTAAAAACAGATAATATAAAGGCAGCCAAAGCAAAGTTCAATAAGAATACTAAAGAAGTTATCATTCTGATTGCTGAGAATATACTTCCAATGTACACTTTGCTCATATTGGATGAGAACAATTTACTGTTCCATTTTGCTAGAAAGGATGAAATATCTACAGTCATATTATTTCATAAAATTTTTAATTAAGTAAAAAGCTAGATTAAAAGGTCTAGTTCAAATGGCAAGTATACTCAGAGGCTTTAGAAATAATATATAACTTCATTTTGGCTATATACATAGATATTTCAATATCTAACCATTAATTAAATTTACTTTTCATATAATTTATGATAAAAGCATCACACATTCCCATTTTAAAATGTTCCAAACAACAGACCTATGAAAATAAACGTTTTAATATTTTATTCTGGAAAATTAAAAAATAAAAAGTGAAATAAAATATACCATTTTTTCTTATCCATATTGCTTTAAGAATGAATTAGGATATATAACTATGCTAATATGATTTTAAGGGGAATAAATATTAAGGTGCTAGTTCAAATCATCCAGTTCATAATTCATATATCATAGCACACTGAATATATGATTAGTATATATGTCCTCATTTATAAGACTCTGATACTACCACCTTTTATATATATTTAAATAAAACAATGCAAGAATTTTAGAGCCAAGTTTTACTAATTTTCACTATATTTAGGAACATACAAACAAAACAGTAAAATTTTAGTTTAAATATTGGGTGTGACCATGATATAATCTAATGTATGATGAGATAGAATATTTGTAAGCACATAATTATAACTCAACCATCCATCTTCACATGCAAATATAATAGCACATCTCAAAACACACTACTTTTTTCTTTTTCTTTTCTTTCTTTTTTCCATTTTAAACTTACTGCTTTGTAAGTTCTCTTTTGTCCGGCATGTTTACGAATCTGTTCTCCATTTGGCCCTGTTTCCACATGCATCGAATAGATAATGTCAAAGAAATCTTCAACCACAGCTACCCGCCGTAAAGACAGCTTCTCGTCTACCCCTACGCCATCCTGGGGAAAAAAAGCCAAACAAAGATTAATATATAGGATTCATAAACCAATCTGGATTTGGAACATGAAATTCAACTATCAAAATATTTACATCATATGACCCAAATCATCTGGATGGGAAGTTCAGAAATTCATGAACATTATATTTATAAATATATGTACATATGCATATATTCACATATGTGAATATATGCATATATACATACATGTATATATGCATATGTTAAATATGTATATATTATATATGTATATAATATGTATGTTATATACATATTATTGTAAAAATACTGTACAGAGGGGTTACACTTACATGAGTAGGGTAATGAGTACTTCCTCCTTTGTTTTTTTGTTTTTGTTTTTTGTCGGTCATGGGGCTTGAACTCTGGGCCTGGGCGCTGTCCCTCAGCTCTTCAGTTCTCTACCATTTGAGTGCTCTACCATTTGAGCTACAGCACCACTTCCTCCTCCTTTGTTTTTTCCCCTACCATCCCTTCCCTCCCTACCTCCCAAACTATCCCCCCCAAAAAACTGTAAATTTCATTTTCAACATAGTGTCTTGTACATATCATTGTTACAATAAACCTGTATCCTTGTTTAAGTATTTTGTTATATCCCTTCCCCTCCCCAAATTATAAAAATGTATGTTCTGCCCCACTGCATAACCCCTGTTTTCATTGTATCTGATTCCGGTGTCCTGCCTCTTGCATATACATTGTATTTCTTTTTAACAGTCTCTTACTACTTAATTCAGACTAGCTTGGAACTCTTAATCTTCAATTTCAGTCTTTACATAAATGTTGAGATGATAAATGTGGGTCACCGTGTCCATTTATCCTACCATGCCATGCATTATTATTTTGTGTGTGTCGGTTGTGGGGGCCTGAACTCTGGGTCTGGGCACTGTCTCTCAGCTCTTCAACTCAAGGCTAGCACTCTACCACTTGAGCCACAGCACCACTTCCAGCTTTTTCTGCTTATGTGGTGCTGAGGAATCGAACCCAAGTCCTCATGCATACAAGGGAAGCACTCTACCACTGAGCCATCTTCCCAGCCCCATGCATTATTTTTATAAGAGAAAGGAATTGCTAATATTAGGTGTTTCATGTTTACTCATGAATGCTACCAATTGGGCTTTATCATGACTTAGTTGTAGCCATCAGTGTACTCTGAAACAGTTGTAATTTGACAAACATATTAATATATGAACAAAGTAGTTCTGGGAGTAGTAGATTCATCTCCTGTTAAGGTAGTTCTTTGGAAGCAATGTCATTTGACATAGGTTGGGGTTCAAGTGAAGTGTAATCTTGACAATGGGACATAGAGATACGTGCCACTAGGTCACATGGGTGATAAAGAGCAACAATGGAAAAATTAACCTTGTGGGGGGGTAAGAAAAATGTTACATGAAGAAGTTAATCCTATGTGGCTGACACATAGAGCTCTTTCTGTTCATAAAGAGAGGCAGTGTTTGCATTTGGGCCATAAAGAATAGCCAGAAGTACACAGCGATGAACAGCTGACATGACATCATCATGAATGTGAACTAACAGCACTTAGGGTAACCTAAATAAAACTATGATGCAGCCAATGAGACAAATGGCAAGAGTTTCTTCGAACAGAAACACTATAATCTTCCCAAGCCCTATTCTGCACTGGAGAGGTTCCCCCTCTCATGTGATGACCATACGGGGCTAGTCAGGAAGGAGACTGGCATGCCACTCATACATACTACTAGGATCAGAGTAGGGTAGGTTATGAGAATATTCCTCAAAATTAGAATAATATTCTTTTTTATTTTTTGTCAGTGTCGGGCTTGAACTCTGGGCCTGAACACTGTCTCTCAGCTCTTCAGCTCAAGGCTAGCGCTCTACCACTTGAGCTACAGCAACACTTCTGGTTTTCTGGTAGTTAATTGGAGATAAGAGTTTTACGGACTTTCGTGCCCGGGCTGGCTTTGAACCATGATCCTCAGACCTCAGCCTCTTGAGTAGCTAGGATTACAGGCGTGGGCTACTGGCACCCAGCTTCAAATTTTTACATATGAAATGTAACATCTATGGAAATAACTTTTATTCAGTTTACATTTTATATATTATACACTTATATGTGTTACATATTTAAAAGTATATACTTATATATATTATATATTTAATTTTTAGGTAGTTACTTTATATTTATTTAGACCAATACATCAGATTCTCTCTCTAGGAACTTAGGGATGAAAGACCTTGCCATCTTTCCTTCCTTATTCAAGCTGTTATCAACTGGGTCCTGAACTCACAAAATCATCATCATGAAGGTGTTAATATAATTTTAATGACAGTTTTAGAAACAAAAGCAGTAGGAAGAGATGCCAATTTATAAACAACAAATGCAATGCCATAACAAAGAAACAAGAAGGGACAATGAAATAAATATACAATTTAGTCTTAAATTTACCAGAGTTCTAAACTCAATAATCTACAAAGAACACCTATAAACAACCTAATGTTCAGCCTGCATTGGCGCTTCAACCTGTAAGTTCTAGCTACTCAGATGGTTGAGATCTGAGGGTTCTGGTACAAAGCCAGCCTTGGAATAAAAGGTCATGAGACTCTTGTCACAATTAACCAGAAAAAGGCCAGAAGAGGAGTTGTGGCGCAAGTGGTAGGACATCATCTTTGAGAGAAAAATAAAAACCACGTAAGTGTGTAAGGCCTAGGGTTTAAACCTTAGTACGCACACACACACACACACACAAATTAATTTTCACAACCATCTCAGAGATTATGTGTGTGTGTGTGTGTATCTTCAAATAATATAACAAATTTTAAACAGACAATTTATCACTCAGCTCTCCGGCCATTTGACCCTCAGGCCTCAGATTCACTCATACAGACACAAACCAATAACAAAACACCTGGTTGAATAAATTAAAAAAAAAACATTTATTTTTATGTATTAACAACTAAGGGAATTCACCGTACTAATATGTAAAAATTAAATATTTTAATGAGAAATTATTGCTTTCCTCAAATCTTATCCGTTTTACTGACAATGTTCTAAAGAGAGGAGAAGCAAAGTCATCCCTGGCTGAACTGTAAACACATTATTTCAGGGGGAAAAAGAATGAAGACAAAGAATGAATAATATAGAGAAAATAAAATGTTTCAACCCAAACTACGTTAACCAAAAAAAAAAAATTATGTCCCTGTACCAAATTCATTAACTTTATACTGGGTATTGGCTCACAAAAATATAGAAAATTAATTCTACTTAGTTCAAATTTATCACCAAAAACAAAAACCCCACTGGGTTCAATTCCAAGTTTGTTTCTTCGATAAGAAGAGAATCATAATGATTTATGCAGACTCTTCATCCTCTTTCAAGAACAGGGCAAGATTCATGCGCCCGGGATGCCTCTTCTGCCAGCACAAAGAAGACAGGCAAGCACAGCTCTGCCATATGCTCAGCTCTGGCAGGCTGAGCCCTCCTTGTCAGATATTGTCTTGCACTGAGGACTTTCCATCATGCCCTGACACATGCTGCCTCTGCCCTTGAAACGCAAGTGACTTGCAATTTGGAGCCTCTGATTAACCAGTTATTATTTGGTCTGCATGTTTCCCGCCTTTCTTTCTTTCACTGTGCTAGCCAACTACCAAGCCATTTAAGGTCTTCCCAAGAAAGCAGACAGAAACTAAAATGTCCTCCTTGAACACTGAAGGGTTTAGTGGAAGCGTAAGGTCCATCGGAACATTTAAGTCATTCAGTCATCTTCTTGGGTCATACATCGCTCTAGATCATTCAGTGTCTAGCTGTGAAGAGGAAGTCTAAACTACAGCTCCTTGTGTTTTCTTTTAACTAACGGGTACAGTTATTAGGTAAAAAGAGTAGTAAATTCTTTTTTGTACCTTTGGGACTAAGAGCCAGAGAGAACAAATAAAACTAAGGTTTCGTGATGATAATATTCATAGCAAATATGTGTGGTCCCCATAGCCAATAATCTAAAATTCAGGAGTATATCCAGTAAGGAAACATTAAAAGGAGTGTCAAAAAAATCTTTTAAACCTTTTCTAAAAGGTTAAGAAGTCAACCTCGTTTCATAAAAGATAAATGTTTACAAAACTATTTATGTAACTTATTGAGGTATGCTTAAATTAAACCTAAACACACACACACACACACACACACACACACACACACACGTACTCTCCCACTGAGCTATGTCCTCCAGTACAGTATTTTTAATCAAAGACAAATACCAGGAGCAGTAACTTTGTTCAAGGCACATGTACTTTAAATTAAAAATCTTAGCTATCTACAAGGCTAAGACTTAAAACCTAGAGAGAAAGATTGACCAAAAGTGCTGCAAAAAATGTCTCACTGGGAAAGATTCTAGTCATATGAGAGGGATCAACGTCAAAGTGTTGATATTGGATCTCCCTACACATTTATTGTTTAACAGTGTTTCTTTGCGTGATTATGCCACAATTTAACCACATTCCATTTGATGTATATACAAGTTGATTCCAGTTTGGCACTATTTTGGAAAGAAAATTCATCTTCTATTTTAACTTGTCTCTTTATCATAAAACACTCTACAGGATGAGTCTACTAAAAGAAGATATTGGTGATAATTATTTTGAAACCTTAATACTTAAGTCTCTGGTACAGTACAGGAATATTAAATGTCTAATTAAAGTACATATTTTGTATAGTCTGGCTAATTTGCAGAATTTCTTTGCTAAAAAGCCAGTTCCTGTTATAGGTTTTGGGAACTAACTATGTCTCTTTGAAGCAGACTACCATGCTCCATAATTACTGCTGAAGTTACCTCCTAGAATTTCCTAACATTCTTCTGAAGATTGAGTTTGTCACCCAAAGTATGAAAATAAATACTAGTTTTATAGATTTGGCTTCACTTGAAGATGAATTGAATTTTCTGAAGCTTAAGGAGCAGATGATAGTTTTTATTTTATTGTAATGTTCACTCCTCAAATATATAAATTATTCCATAAAGA